AAGTGCTGGAGCCTGAACCAGAGGAAGTTCCTGAGCCAGAGGAAGTGCTGGAGCCTGAACCAGAGGAAGTTCCTGAGCCAGAGGAAGTGCTGGAGCCTGAACCAGAGGAAGTTCCTGAGCCCAAGCCACAGGAAGTGCCTGACACAGAAGAAGAGCCTGAACCAAAGAAACCCACTCCACAGGATATTATTAAGGCACGCATATGCAAGAAACGTAGCCCCAAAGTGCCCCAGAAAACTGAATCTTCACCTCCAGAGAAAGTTCCTGAGATGGGACCAGAGGAACCCGCACCTCCAGAGAAAGTTGAGCCTGAAGAACCAGCCCCTCCAGAGAAAGTTGAGCCAGAGCCAGAGGAACGAGCACCTCAGGAATTACCTCTGGAGCAGCAGGTTCTTCAGGCTCCAGGGGAGGAACCTGAAGAACCTGCTCCTCCAGAGGTAACTCCTGAGGAACCAGCACTTCTAGATGTTGCTACAGAGCCAGAGGAATCCTTACCTCCAGAGGAATCAAGTGAGCCAGAGGGAGTTGAACCTGAGCCAGACAAAGTAGAACCTGAACAAGAGGAAGCAGCCCCTTCAGAGGAACCTACAGAGGAGGTGATGGAGCCAGTGGAACTTGCACGTCCGGAGGAAGTTGAACCTGAGCCAGAAGAACCCAAACCGCCAGTGGAAGTTGAGCCGAAGTCTGAAGAACCTCCTGCTCCGGATGAAGTTGAGCCTGAGCCAGTGGAAGTTGAGCCAGAGGGACCAGCACCTCCAGAGGAGGGGCCTGAAGAACCTGCTCCTCCAGAGGTAACTCCCGATGCAGTGGAAGAAGCACCTCTAGAAGTTGCCACGGAGCAAGAGGAACATTTACCTCCAGAGGAATCACATGAGCCAGAGGAAGTTGAACCTGAGCCAGAGAAAGTAGAACCTGAACGAGAGGAAGCAGCCCCTCCGGAGGACGTTGAGGCAGAGGAACCGACACCGCCAGTGGAAGTTGAGGCTGAGGCTGAAGAATCTGCTCCTCCAGAGCCAACTCCCGAGCCAGTGGAACAAGCTCCGCCAGAAGAAACTCCTAAAGAGGAAGACATATTGCCAGAGGAAGCCACTGAACCCGGCTCTGTGCCCGCAGCAGAGGGAGGTGGTGAGCCTCAGGGTGCTGAGGCCAAACCCCACAAGCCACCATTGAAATGCATCCGGTCTCCACAAAAACATAAGCCCACAGAAGGCGACCCTGACCCTTCTGAATTTGCTTCTCAGCCTCCAGAGGCACCCCATCAGCCCGAGGAATCGACACCGATTGAATCTTAAGAACCTCTTCTTTGTGTGCGGTCTTTGTGGGATCTTTTTTTGACGAGGGGGGGGGGGGGGGGCAGAGCGTGGGATTTCCGGAATTTAAAAAATAAACATTTGTTGGTCTGTTGAAAGAGAAGGGACGCAATCCTTAATTTGATGTCTCTCTCGAGAAGAAGCTGTATCCAACAATAATATTAAGCCTTGCATTCGATTTGGCGTCTTATCGTGCCTTCGAGACGCCTCGAAGGGCTTCGGGGGGCAACTCACTGTATGTTTCGTGGGTGAAAAGCGGCAGCCGGTTGCGCCCGGTCTTGTCCCAACGGTCCGCCCTGGAATCAAACCCGTTTGCGAGGCGAACGCTCTAACCACTGAGCTCTAACCTCCGCTGAAGACCTTTCTTTTTGACCGTCACCTCCCCGCCCGCCCGCCCCCCCCCCCACCTCCCCCATCCCTCCCCCCCCCGGGCTCGGTCCCGGCATCCGTTACTTGTAAAGCGCTCTGAGACGCCCGTCCGGCGCGGAGGGCGCGATGCAAACCCAAGCTGTTGTTGTTCTTGTGGTTGTTGTTGTGGCTACAGGACTCCCAACCGATTCGTCTCGGGACAGGAACACAGGAGGAGGCGCACGTTCACGTTCCGTAATCGCGGTAGAACGGCGGAACAGGCGGCTCGCGGCGCGGGATGGCCTCCTCCTGCTCCGTCGTGAGTTGTGCGCGAGAAGCCCCCTACCTTCTCGCCGCTGACCCTGTGCCTTTCCCGAACCTGCTCCCGTCCACGTTCCCGTCGCCGTCGCCGCCGGCGTCGACCGTCGCCGAGGCGCCCGGCGCCTGGGAGAGACTCCCCCTCCTCTCCTCAAAGGGATTGTAGGCGCTTAATTGTCGTCCACCTGAGGCGCTCTGGGACGCCGCCCCCACCCCCCACCCCCACCCCAACCCCCACCCGCCCGCCCGGCCGCCACCGGTCGCTTGGGGGGGGGGGTCGCGCGCGGGCATTTTGGGGTCAAATCCCGGCTTCGCTTGAAATATTTGGGCCCGACGGCCGCAGCCAATCGAGAACTCAACTCAACCCCTCCCCACCCCCCCCCCCCCGCCATCTTCTTCTTCTCCCTCCTCCTCCTCCTCCTCTTCCTTCCTTCATCTTTCCCTCAAGGAGCGGTGGACCCAGCGAGCGGTCGGCGGTCGGTCTCTCTCTCTCTCTCTCTCTCTCCCCCTTCCTCGTTGCCGGTGGGGAGGGGGGGGGTGGGGCGCCATCTTCCTTCGCCTCAGTGGCGGTTGGCGGTTGGTTCGGGCGGGAAAAATTCAAAATTCAAACGCGCGCGGGGCGAGGGCGCGAGCGGGCGGGCGGGCGGCCAAGCGCCTGCGCAGGCGCGCGGAGCGGGTGAGGCGCATGCGCGGTGCGGTGCGGGCGGGCGGCGCGTGAATGCGTTGGGCTGGGCGGGGGAGGCGCATGCGCCGGGTGGGCGGGGCCGTTGCGCCGAGGCCAGCGGGCTGGTGCGCCTGCGCCGCGGAGGACGTGGCATTTGACGCTCGGCGGCCGACCGGCGGAGCCGATTCCGGTGGGTCTTTTTTTTCTCTCTCTCGGCGTAGTCCGCCCCCTCCTCGTTGTCGGGGTCCGGGTCGCTCCCGAAGAGGATTTTACCGAGCGACGAGGAAGGTTTCGGAGCCGCTCGTGTCGGTAAGGCCCCCGTTTCGGGATGGCTTTTTTTTCCCCCCTCCCCCTCGACCGACCGCCGCGCAACCGAACTTAACCGGATCCGCTTTTGACGGGCAGCGGCCGCGGCCAATCGGCGGGCGCCTGCCGGGCACGCCGGCCAATCAGAGGCGAGCGTCTGGGTGGGTGGGTGGGCGGGGCGAGCGAACGGGTGCGAACAGGTTAGGTTGTCGCAGGGTTTCCCTTCCCCTCCCCCTAACTTGGCTTCCTTTAAGGCTGACGGGGTTTAAAGGGGTAGGACAGGGGGGGGGGGGATAAGATGCTCTGCTATGGTCCACCCAGGACCCTGCCTCTGTACCAGACGATGCTACTTTTTTTTTCCCCCAACCCCCCCCTCACCCCCTGTCCACGTAATACACAGCCACTACACTTCACGGCGCGTCCCGGGGCGAAGCGCCCTCGAGACGTCCCGCCCGGGCGCGAGCGCCGGAACGCCACGGCGTTGCCGTTCCTACGGCCCGGACGGGCTGGGACGCGCGCGCGCGCGGACTCGGGGAGCCCCCCTCTCCCCTCCCCCCCCCGCTGGAGGCGCGGGAGGCTAACCAAGCGAGAGGACCCGGGTTCGATTCCCGAACCGTCGGCAAGTTTCCTTGCCCCACGCGCACCTCGGGTTGTTAAGTCGGTTGGCGGATCACTGTTACGGGGCGGGGGGGTGTTGGGGGGGGTGGGGTGGGGGGTAATAATCCTTTCAAAATAATAATTTGGTCACTCGACCCACGACTGTCTGTGGGACAGTGCTGCGTGCGGCAGCGTTTCGCCCATAAAATGTACAGTCACTACGCTTCACAGTATAATCTGCGAGGCGGGGGGGAGGGAGGGGGTGGCTTCGACCTTGCGGTCCAGGCACCGATGAGATTTTAAACCAAGCTCTCCGCGCGGGGGCTGGTCAGGCAGAACAGTGAAGACCTCCCCCCCCCCCCCCAAGGCGCTGTCCAGGGAGAGCGGTGGGGGACACACGGATGTTTCTCTCATCCAGTGTCCTGGTCAACATTCTCCACCACCCCCACCACCACCACCCCCCCCCCCCCCCCGCGATAAAATTGGTCACTTATTTCACAGCTGTTTGTGGGATGCCGCTGTGTAAATCAGCTGTTGCTTTGTTGGCAAACAAAACACACAGTCGCTACCCTTTACAGAATATCCCGTGAAGCGCTTCCCCCACCCCCCACTCCCCCCACCCACCCCCCGCCGTCTTTGAGCCCGATCAGCCGATTGAGGAGGAGATATTTAACAGCCAACATCTCTTTCGTTCAAGGGAATTGTATCAAAACTTTAAATAGGTATTCAAAACGAATCTGAAACCTCCCAGCGATCGAGGCCGCTCGCGTCAATTGTGGCTGCTCGAATTTCCTGATTGGGTTATTGTTAGAATAACAATTATTTCAAGTATTTCGTACAGCGCCTTATCACATCATTGCGACACCTCAAAGCGCTTCACGGGATTTTTACAATAACAGCATCACAATGATAATAACAATCCTTGCATTTGCTACAACAACAACAACAACAAGAATGCATTTACAGAGCGCCTTTCACGTCGGGAGGACGTCCCAAAGCGCTGGACAGTTGGGTCGGGACCCGAGCAGGAGGGGGAAATGGTCAGGGTGAGGGGAGGGAAGGGAGGGAGCGAGGAGGGGGTAGAGGGTCGAGAGGGGAGCTGAAGGCACGGTCGAAGAGAAAGGCCTTGAGACCGGCCTTGAAGGAGGAAAGGGAGGAAGCGGCGAAGGCACTGGGGGATGGCCCGAGAATCAAAACCTGAGTCCTCTCGCTTGCGAGGCTAGTGCTCCAATTGCTCTATTGGCTACACAGGATACACTTTACAGTCTATCCTGAGATGTCTCAATAGGGGTGTTATATTACAATGCAAGGATTATTATAATTATTATGAATAGTTACGATGATCGTGTTTGCTCTGTTCCAGGCAGGGTTATGAGTCTCGATGAACGCGCGAAGACGACACGGTCCCTCGAGAACTGAGCAGGGAGTGTACATCGGGCCATCGCAGACACAAGTCCTCACCGCCAGCTCCCTTCCTCCCATCTCCGTCTCCTCCAGGCCGGCGCCGCTCGCCATCCCGGACGACACCATGTCGTGCCGAGACCGCACGCAAGAGTTCTTTGCTGCCTGCAAATCCATGCAGAGCCGACAGGTGGGTGCCTTCGAGAGGCTGGTCTCTGTGGACGAGTGTTCTCCACGTTCCCCCCACCCCGTGCTCCCTGCTTGTCGCTCGAAGCAGGAAGCGTTCTTTCAGAGAGAGATAGACAGAGAGAGAGAGAGAGAGAGAGAGCGGATTCCATTTCAGTTGGGTTTGGAGATTCTTCCACGTGGTGACGGGTTTCTGGGTGTGTCAAGACGCCCGGTTGATCATGGCGACGGGTTTCTGCGTGTGTGTGCGTGTGCGCGCGCGTGTATCAGACACCCGGCTGGCCAAAACCAAACGCGGACTGGATTTACCTGGAGTGAGACCACGATGGTATTGGAATGTGTCTGCACGTGTCGGCCATTCTGGCTACCTTTGGCTCTCACAAACTCCTGCAGCTGTGCGATCTGCTTGTTTAGACTGTTGATATCCTGCCGAGGTGACGGGAAGAAACAATTTACAGCTTCCGGGTCCACTGTGCGATGGGTGAAGGCTAATGTTAACAAATAATAACAATACTCGCATTTGATGTAGCGCCGTATCGTGTCTTCGAGTCGTCTCGAAGCGCTTACACTGTAAAGTGCGGTGAATATTTTGCAGGCGAAAGCGTGGCAGCCAATTTGCGCGCAGCAAAGTGTCCCACAATCGGTCGCGGATGGAGTGACCGATTTATTTAATAGGACGGGAGTCTAATCCAGGGGTTTGGGAGCGAGTTATATATAGGCTGGAGTCTGGGATTTCCGTGTGTAGTTGGGTTTGGAGACGGGTCCACCCGGTTCAGCACAACAAAAATCTGACACACGGGGTCACAGTGAGCGAGCGTGCGACACCCAAAGACATTGCGCGCAACACGTAAGAGCGGTGGAGAGCGAGAGTGACACACCGAGGCCGACTGACCTGCTTGATGATGTAAGTAAGTTCTTCTATTTCAATCGCCTTGTCGTCAAACAACGATTTCCTCTTGGCCACTGCCACAAACGCAAAAGGCAATGTCACTCCCCACATCTTAATATAATAATAATAATAATCCTTGCGTTTGATACGGTGCCTTAACATGTCTTTGAGACGTCTCAAAGCGCTTTCGGAATACACCGTCAAGTGAATTGACCGCAATATTTTGTGAATGAGAACGAGCCAATCGCGCACAGCAGTGTCCCCCACAAACAGTCATGGATTGAGTGACCAAATTATTATTTATGTACGTTTTGAAGGAATTATTACCCCTGGAAAGCGATCTGCCAATCGACTAACAAGCGGGTTCCTGCTTACTGCTAGGTAAACGTGTGTGTGTGTGTGTGTGTGTGTGGAGAGTAAAGAAACTTGCCAACATTTCGCCCCGACCCTGCCCAGGAATCGAACCAGTGTCCTCTTGCTTGCGAGGCGAGTGCTCTTAAAAACTACACTACAGGACTCCGCGATAGTATCAACGGTAATAGAATCACCACCGACAGATCACCACCACGGAGCTAGAGTTCGCCAACGCAGCAGGGCTTTGCTACTTACGTATCGTTAGCTTTTCCAGCTTGGAGAATGTGTTGCTCAGGTCTTTACCGATGCGTCTGTGTTGGAAACAAGGACAGCCGTTTTGTGAGCGCTCCCGGCAAAGACTAGCGGGGCAACCCAGCCACGTTTCAGGTCGCGAGACGGATCAGTAAACAGCCCGAGGGCTCGCAGCAAACCCACTGAATTTACAAGCTGGCAGAGTTTGTAAAAGTATGGAAATTTTCAGCCCTCAATCTGTTACTTGTTAAGAATCTGTTCCTCCCCTTTCTTCCTCTCTTCCTCCCACCCCCCAGCTCCTCTCCCGATGATGGTCTGCAGTCCGGTTCCTGAGCCAGGCGGATCTGCAGTGCTCCAGGGCACTGCTGATTACAGCACAGCCCATCGGCAGGACCTGGAAGGACAGACCAGTCACTGGGGGCAGGAAATCCTTCCCCTCAGCTCCTGTTTACCCTGTCAGCCAAAACCCTAACTAATGGGTAGGGTGGTCTTAGCTGGACAAGCAGTGGAGAAGCTTGCCAGACTGCACTCTCTCTCAATGGCCAAGCTATGTAGTTCTGGTTAGACTCCAGCAGTTACCCCAACGCACACTCTGGGCTCCCCCAAGCCTTGACTTTTGCCAACCTGTGCCCAATACTCTCCGGAATTAGGTAAGCGGGGGACGTCCCTCCAGGGAGAGAGCGCGCTCGTTCCATTCCAACAACCTATCTCTGGGATTTCCGTGTGTAGGTGGGACGCGTGGAATTCTCAGTTGGGTTTGGAGACTATAAAGCACGGTGATGGGTTTCCGCGTGTGTCAGACACCCGGCTGATCTGTGGTAAGTGCTGCTACTCACTTTGCCATGACTGTGAACTCGCTCCGCTGTCGGACTGCGTTCAGGTGAGGCTTGTTAACTTGCAGGCCATTCTAAACAGGAAACAGGAGAGACAACAACAACACAGCAATCTTTAGCACCTCGGAGAGCTGCATGGCTCAGGGTCAGACACAGAGAGGGGGGAGAAGGGGCCGTGAACATGGTTTCAGTTGAAGATGTTTTCAGATGGGATTTAGAGACTGATAAATAGCAAGAGAGAGGGAGGGTTAGAGGGAGAGTGTGACCGAGTTCAGGGTATAATGGCTGAAAGCACGGCCACCGATGGTGGAGCGGAAGGGA